TTATTTGTTTATAAATAACTCCTGTACTTCTTTGCAATTGCTCGATTTCGAGCAACATGTACACTAGCAGGTCATTTATTTTCCAGATTTACATTAATGCATTGGCTAAGTCAATATACATTTAAAAAAATACAGATTGTCTTATAAACTATAAAATAACTACTAAAATAAACATATTTACATGTAATCAATTCATGAACCAAGTATACCATATGCCCATGACTACCCATCAGCAATAAAATTACGGACTCGGTAGTAACAAAGACGGCCGTGGTAGTAACACTTGGACACCAGTAATTGTCGTTAAAAAAAACTACCGTAAACAAATGATCACAGAACAAACATGGGCAAAAATTGATCGCTTAAAATAGGACACTGAACTGCAGTGCACGAACAGTTTACCCAGCTGTTCTTTTGTATTGGGCTTTGAATAAATGATCCGGACTGATGAAAGAGCTTCAATAGCAAAGCTACACATATCTTCTATAAACATTCTACACTGACTTATCCTTCACTGATATTTGGGTTGAAATTAGCAACTAGGTGGTGTCTTTATCTCATAATGATAATGATCCAATCCGATAACATTCACGTGTTTTCTATAAACAGAGTGGTATCATAGATAAAACATACTCCTCAAGGATCCTTGAGGGATATGTTTTATCTATGGTAGTATGTTGCGATGTTGCCACTTCGAAGGCCGCGGCCTGGAGTTATAGGTGGCCGTGCGTGAGCATGTTCTCGTTCTTACAATACACCACACTTTATAAAGCTGCTTATAGTATGTTCAGCATTATAGCCCAGTCAATCTAGGTTTTTACCCGGAAATGCGAGATATAAAGCTAATTTTTTGCACAGATGTCCGTTATGGTATGTAAAATCACACCTTAAAAGTCCCCGCCCGTCCCTTGTTTGCTTCTTCCAGTATAAAGAAAAAGGGGGGGAGGGGGCGCAACTTATTTAAACGCACATTGAACGCGATAGCTTGAGTAATTTTGGTCCGATTTTGATAAAATTTGGCTAGAAGGTGAAAGGTGGGATAAACTTAAATGAGTTGCAAAATCAGCATAATCAGACCATGGGAACGGGTGTTTACGGGGGTTTTTATGAGGTAAAAATTGGGTTTTATGGGGTAAAAATTGAATTTTATCATTTTTGATCCTCAAAACACAACAATTTCTAATTTCTCCCTGAACCATTTAAAAAAGCTTAAATGATCAAATATTTTAGTATAATGAAGTGTTTGTGTAAGGTTATTGATTAGGAAGAAAATTAAAAAAAATAAAAATTCCCATGTTATTCTTAAGGAGAGTAAGTTGTTGTAGTTTGCTTGTTTACGGATATATTTTGACCAAACTTGGAAAATCAACTTAATTTATAATAAGCTATTGATATTTTACTACAAACGCACTTTATTCCACTCCTCTAGCAACAAGCCTAGGTACTTGTTAGGCATAATGTTATTTCAATATATTTAATAAAAAATCCAATCGGGCAAATGGAAATTCACTTAGTCTGCAGGTTTGCTGCGGTGGGGGTATTTTCATAAAAAGTTGCACTGTCCTAGATTTGCTTTATCAATGGTTTTCGTCAACACTACACTCTATTTTTTCCCCTTAAAATGTATATTTAAGCTGGGAATAGTATAAATAAACTCCAGAATAAACGTGGACAATGGTGTAAAAACATAACATAGGAGCATGGTATTCAATAAATAATATACAGGATACAGTAATATTAAAAAGTTTTACTATTACATTTTTAAGTTCAATCAGAAAAGATTACTAACAAAAAATAATATTTGTACAAAATATTGGATTAACCACCCTTAAAATATGAAACCCAATTTTTTAAGAGTAACATGCACAACAGTAGGTTAAGCAATTGTATTGAACATTGTGTTTTATACCTATTATAAAACTGAACATTACTAACTATCAACGTATCTCTTCTTCCTCTAAATCAATTGTCTGCAGTGTGTTGTTGCAGTCTCCACCTTGGCAATGAGCACACATTTCCGAACAAGCTAATCCTAACCCTGACCTTATGCAATCACACGATCGGGCACACTCTTTCTTGCAATCACATGTAACGAAATTCAAGAGTTTATCAGGTGCCGGTGGCAAAGTCATAGATTGAGGTACAAGAACGCCGTCTTTTTCAAGTCAACCCCATGAACATGGATCCAGATCCTTCCCAAGCCATTTCTGCACTTGATAGTAAACCCGCAAAGTGTGTAAGCGTGCGGCATCCGAAGAAGGCGGTAAAACTGGCAAATCAAAGCTTGAAGTAATTTTCTGTTTAGCTATCAGTTTATCTATATATATAAAAGGCAAAGCCCTCACTGACTCACTGACTGACTGACTCACTCACTCACTCATCACTAATTCTCTTACTTCCCATTTACCTAGGAGGCTGAAATTTGGTACACTGATTCTTTGGGCATTAAATAGGAAAACTAAGCTTTTTTTATTCTGATCGGACTCTCGGGCTCCGCCCCAGTGTTGAACATAAAGTACCTTAGTTCATTTGATGTTTTGCACTTTGTATCTCCGTATATTGCAAGAAAGTATTGTTCTCCACATGATGTTAACTTGTCAGGCTGAGCAGTTGAATCTTTAAAAACATCTGACATTTTTTGAAGTTCCACACTTTTTCCAACACTTTCCAGGGCACTTTTTTCCCTTTTCTAAACGTTGCGGATGTTGTATCGCATCCAGAAAATGCGTGTGCAAACAGTATACAGTCTTTCATATTGCCTAAGTTACTACTAATTTCAGTTACTGTGTAAACTTTGTAGGAACCTTTACTGCCTTCTGGTTTGATGAAGAACAATGTATCTGACCTTTTAACTCCATGGACAAGAAGTGCTAGAAGATCAGTGTCTGTACCCACCACAGCTGTTTTCAGACCTTCAGAACACTGCTGAAGAGCTGTTGAAGCAATCAAAAAGTCAGCATCTGCTGCAGCTTGTAGAACTGAAAAGCCAGCTCGATCAAAGTGTGATTTTAGTTCACTTATAAGTCGGATTTTATTTGCAGCATTACCGAGAAATTCAGCCTGAAATAATATACTGAAATTATTTGTCCATATGTGGCAGGCTTGGGCCAAACAACATGATGAAGCAAATGTCCTCCGTCCAATACATAAACACAGTCTTGAGGCCAACTATGAAGGGTAGGTGTGATCATCTCTATAATATCACAAAGTGCTGACTTGGCTGTTTTTCTTATCGCTGCTTCGTTAAGGAGAGAAGGTGGCCTCGGAGCCAATTCAAAGGCCATGTAATCTTCATAATCAGATGGTGATTTAAAAAAAAAAACACTATAATCTGAGAAACAGTTGATTCGGATTCACTTCTATACAATCGTGACCTCTTACTTTGATAGTGGCATAAACAGCAGCAAGTGGAGTAACTTTACTTTTTCTTTTTAGTTTTACATCACCAAAAGTTTGGCCAGTCATTTGAGTCATTGCAAGAAGTCCTGTTTCTGTGGCGTTTTCCGGGTTTATTTTACCGTCAGCAACTGTTCCAGTTGACAAAGAAATCAAACCTCCATTTATGTCAACACTGAAAGGCGAATGTGACTTTAGCCAACAAAGTAGTTTGTATAAATCGTTATCATCTCTTGATTGCCGAGCATCTCGTAGCTCAACATGTTGTTCTGTAGTTCCAGATTTATATGACACAATTTTTCAAAAGCATTCGTGACAACAGAACAGGCTGGACGTGCTAGGACAAATTTTTCCAAGTTACTGTCAGTGACGCCTCTTCCATGGATAAGTCCACCTGATACTTTCAAAGAACGCATGAGCTCCTGCTCAATCACCATATCTGTCCAGTTTCCACCCCAGAACCTTTCTGTTCTACGAACCGAAAAGAAACCTTTTCTGATTGTACTTAAAAATGTAATAGTAAAACTTTTTAATATTACTATATCCTGTATATTATTTATTGAATACCATGCTTATGTTATGTTTTTACACCATTGTCCACGTTTATTCTGGAGTTTATTTATACTATTCCCAGCTTAAATATACATTTTAAGGGAAAAAATAGAGTGTAGTGTTGACGAAAACCATTGATAAAGAAAATCTAGGACAGTGTAACTTTTTATGAAAATACCCCCACCGCAGCAAACCTGCAGACTAAGTGAATTTCCATTTGCCCGATTGGATTTTTTATTAAATATATTGAAATAACATTATGCCTAACAAGTACCTAGGCTTGTTGCTAGAGGAGTGGAATAAAGTGCGTTTGTAGTAAAATATCAATAGCTTATTATAAATTAAGTTGATTTTCCAAGTTTGGTCAAAATATATCCGTAAACAAGCAAACTACAACAACTTACTCTCCTTAAGAATAACATGGGAATTTTTATTTTTTTTAATTTTCTTCCTAATCAATAACCTTACACAAACACTTCATTATACTAAAATATTTGATCATTTAAGTTTTTTTAAATGGTTCAGGGAGAAATTAGAAATTGTTGTGTTTTGAGGATCAAAAATGATAAAATTCAATTTTTACCCCATAAAACCCAATTTTTACCTCATAAAACCCCCCGTAAACACCCGTTCCCATGGTCTGATTATGCTGATTTTGCAACTCATTTACGTTTATCCCACCTTTCACCTTCAAGCCAAATCTTATCAAAATCGGACCAAAATTACTCAAGTTATCACGTTCAATGTGCGTTTAAATAAGTTGCGCCCCCTCCCCCCCTTTTATCTTTATACCGGAAGAAGCAAACAGGGGACGGTAGGGGACTTTTAGGATATGGTCAAGGATATCATAAAGAACATCTGTGCCAAAATTCAGCTTTATATCTCGCATTTCCGGGTTTGCATGATTTTTTGCCTAGATTTACTGGGCTATTACGTATGCTAGCTAATAGTATTTTCGACTTTGGTAACACTGAAATCAGATAGTCGTCGGCGGTTGTCGGCGGATTTCGTGAATCACTTCGATCGTCTCTCCCTCTCATCTGTCTGTCTGTCGTCCTACCGTCCTACCTCAATGCCCAATGTTGGTTGATGTTGGGTGTCGCAGACGTGTGTTTCATAATTTAATCCATATTATGCCTTTTAATTGAGATAAAAGTGTTATAACTTATTGTGCTGTGAGTATTATTGCAAAAAGGGATAATATTTGTTAGGCACTTGTCTCAAACGTACAATTTAACATCTTTTGCAAGACATCAAACAAGTAAGGTCAAAATATAAGTTATTGTATAAAAAATCAATTCAAGCGTTTTTGCATATTGGTGAATTTGCAGTTTTTAATATGGATAAAGAAGACAGTTAAATCTTTTTTGATCAGTGAGGTGATCGTTCGACGTTCACATCCCATAACATTTGGAAAACCGATTGTACTATCAACACCCTTTTGTTAGAAATTGATTCACATTTTGTCGAGGTGGTAAAAGGAATCGTCAGAACATTACACAATTTCTAGTCATCTGGCAGTAATTGATGAGAGTTTCTGTGGTATATGCACCTGTATTTTATAATTTGAAGATGGATTTATATTTTAACCAAATAAAATATCTTTATTATGTCAATTTTATTTGTGAATCTGCATCTCAACAAATCTAAACAATAGGTCACGATTTTCTTCAGTGAAATATCTTACCTTAAAAGAGGTAGAGAATAGACTTGATTAGTGAATCCTCAAAATTCATAGACTTCACTCAGTTTTAACCTGTAATCAGCAAGTCTCGTGGATACGTTTTTTCAAGTGTTAACTTTTCAGGATCCACCCTTACTTTCTTCACTGCTAAGAAACATTTTATAAACTTAGGATCTATATGCCCAAACTGTGAAAAAGTATCATAATCAAGATTTACTTTCAAACATATTTTTCGTGAAACTCATTTAAAGAGGTTAAGTTAAGCAAGCCTTCTGTGCATCGCAAGCAACGTTAAGCAGAGAGTAACTTGGATTTTACATTTGAAAAATCCAATAACCGCTCTACGATCTATTATTAAGAGAGGAATTAAGTTATAGGACCAAACTCACCACATAATTTGTAAGTAAGAATACCTTTCCTGGTGAAGATATTATCAAGGAACAAATCTTGTTTGGAGAAAAATAATTGGTATCTTACACAACATTCAATCAACAACCTGAAAAAATTGGGAGTTTTGAACAGAAGAGTGGTTGAAAGCAGTATGATTCAGAAAAAGTTAACTGTGAAAAATCATGAAGTGATATTCTGTGGTGAAAATGAACTGAAGAGGCCAAGAGTAGGATGGCGGAAACCAGATCCAGGAGACTGACAAAAGTTGACATTGTACAACAAACCTGATAGATGAAGAATACCTCGAGGCTGCAACTCAAAATGCAGTAGTATGGTATGAATTGAACTTCATTGTCAGTAACTTACATACCGTTTGTTTAAACTTGTTGTACTATGTAGCTAGATATCTGGCAACAGTTGTAAGGTATGGACAAAGTTTTGCTGTAGAGAAACTTTTAATGTTTTACCGTACTGACTTTGTAGGTTAAAGTGTTGAAACATTAGTGTATATTGTCGTACGCAATTTACAATTTCAGTATTAACTTATTTGAGAGAGTAACGTAAATTAGTTGGACATTTACTCCCATTAGTGTGAATTGACGCAAGTTTATACGCTCACCAGGAAGCGATTATAGAAGTTTCAAGCCAACCAATTATAAAACTACTTCAAAAATGCCGTCAACTCCCTCTCATCTCAAAATCGGTTTCCAAAGGAACACTTACAGCCGTGTCTCATTTGGCAAAAACATTCAAGAACAAGAGAGGAAAAAGGAAAAGAGTCCAGATATTGAACCTCTGAATGGTGAGTAACTTATTTGATATTTCTTTAGATTAATATCAACTCATTCTGTTCAAAAAAGTTTTTATTCCTACAAGTTCACATCATGAACCTAACTTATTTGGGGAAGCAGCTAGTTCCACTCTCAAATTTGAATTGTCACTTTAAGACACGATTGTCAGAGAGTGGAAACTCATTCTATAAGCCTAGATAAAGTGTATAAAATATCCTAACAAAACTTTTGGATAAACTATTACCAATTCAGGTATCAGGGTTGTGAGTATTATACATACCGTTACTATTTTTGCGTCATGTAGGCCTAATGTTTCATTGTAACTTTTAATGTAGACTGGTAGGCCCTAGTCTTCATTCTCTAGATCATGACATTTTGTCCTTGGTTTGAAAAAGCTTGATAGATGGCGATGGTCACAGAAAACGTACTACTATAACTTAACCCAGAATGCCAACCGCATGGTAAAAAGCATTAAGCGGTTTGAGAGAGGTTGCTATGCAATAGCATAGCAACACTGGTGGCGCTGCCTACGGATTGACAGGCAAATCTCTCTCAAACCGCTTAATGCTTTTTACCATGCGGTTGGCATTCTGGGTTATAGTAGTACGTTTTCTGTGCTATGGTTTATAAGGCACTTCAAACTAGTTTGTTGAATTTAAACCATCTTTAGGATGATTGGCAGGCCTATTTACCTAGCCTAAGTTACATCAGTACATATTATCATACAATTACCAGCCAACTGGGGAAAAATCAGAAATTGTATAGCCTAAGTAGGCCCTATAATAAATTTTAACGACGGGAGATCTTTTATCGATTGGATATAAGTAGGCTAGTTATGATATTTTTGTGACCTTTAGAGCTCACATCGTTGCTGCACTGTTCTGGTGTTTGTAAAAACTGTTTTGAGAGTCAATTGTAAGTCTCCTCAGAGAGTTGTTTAGTACTAGCCCCAAAAATGTTTACACAGCTAGTATTTTATTTAAAAATCGTGCTTAGCCTACATTGATTTGGGACCTCATCCATTAGAACTCTGTTCCCAATTCCTGGATTAAACTGTCACCAAGGTCTGTAAGGTAACAATACAGAAAAAAACACTAGAAACTAAATTATAGTCTAGACTAGTACAAGAATTTGAACATCCCTGAGCAATCAATACCTTAGCTCTTGCGGAACTTGTATTTTGCTATCCGTCATTTAAATTAATTGGTCTTCATCAACTCCATTGTCGTGCTTAGTTTCACCTTCACATTAATTGTTTTTTTATAGATTTTTTTCTAAATTTTAATTGTTGTTAATTGAAGCTAATTATACTACCTAGAGCCTATGTGTTTTGACATTTTAATCCTAGAACACCTGGAGTTGTCCTTATTATAGCATAACAAAATATTTTCATCATCCATGTTCATGTTTGAACCCTCTGAGCTGTTGGACATAATGTAAGACTTAATAACTTATGTTAATCCCGTCACAGCTAAAAGATTTTGACACATTAACTTAGTAGGCCTAGAAACATGGTTTAGTGTTAAAACACCATCGTCAGCTTAAGATAGGTACTTGTAAAGTTGATCAGTCGTTAACTTAGTCAGGGATGAACACAACACGGTATGCACGAATTACAATAAAAACAAAAAAACATTTTAAATGTTAAAATACAGGCCTGTTTTGACAAAAGAGTGATGGACCGCATAGGTAGCAAGGGCCAGACTTGCTACTTGCAGAGTAATTTAGTCTCATATATTTTCATGGCTTACTGGACATAGGCATAGACTGAATTATCAAAATTGTATTCCATTTCATTTTTTACATTGATAGTCTAAATTTGTTTCTTAAACTTGTTATCAAATCGGTCTTGCAAATTCCATGTCAGTAGCCTAGATCTTAAATAGTATTTGCCACAGGATAGTTTAATTACAAAGTTAGTCAGATGATATATAGACTAATTATTGTTATTTCACTATAAACCATTTAACTAAAAAATAAAAATAAAATGTTTTATACAGGCATTTGAAAGCTTAGAAATCAATACAAATCTTCCTGGATAAAATGTTAAAATATTTACAGGCCCCTGTTTAAATTAAAACATAGGCTACCGTGCATATTTTCCAACTAGGCCTATTCTAAACTGTAATATTAGAGAGGATAAGCCTAGGTTACTAGATATAAACCCTGTTAACACAAGCAATTATTTTGTATTTATTTGAGCTGTACTAAATTGATGCAGAATTTAATTGGATTTGGATTTACTGTACTAGGCCTACTTGTAAATATAGAATCGTCTCTGTGCTCGTAAAGTGAAAAGAAAAGTGATGAACCATGAAGTGTGAAATTCCTGAACTAGCTTGGTTGCATGTCACAAGTTTAAGTTAAAAACAGCTGATGTAGTCTGGTTTTTGCAGTGTTGTCATCTTGTAATCAGATAATGTTTCCGCTATATTTCTAGAGTTTCCTTCTTGGAATGTTTAGCAAGTAAAATATTGGATTATTGTACTTGGTATCCTACTAGGTATAAGAGTAACTTTTCACCTTTAAAAACAAGATTAATTTCTAAATTAAAAAGGGTATGATACTGTTAGCCTACTATTGATTATACACAGATTCTGTGCATATTCTGTGTTTATAGTCAATGTTGTTACTTAAGTCACCACTCTTTTTTTATTGTTTATTGGGTGATTTGAGACTAGGCAAGTGTTTTTAGATTAACTTAGGGCCACAAAACTTGCTAGAAGGAATTATTGTTTCCCAGATAGCCTGCTTGTAAATTTGAAGGCTTGTTAATTTTGCATTTGTAAAAAGATTATTCAACTAATAAAATTTTTTTTATTAATATTAGACTGAGACTTCAAAATCAAATGAGTTCTCCTCAGCAAATTGATAAATTTAATTCAGGGTCCACAACCAACCGTGCACAGAATCATGATGCATTTTCCCTCGTCAACTTTTTTTACTACAGTACCGGTACTGTAGATGAAAAACATGTATTAACCGGCATTAAATTTATGTTAGGGTAGGCCTACTAACTTACCTAATTGTCCTTAAAATATTAAAAACCTGTAGGTTATATTTAATTTTTTTTGTGAATTAAAAAAAGGCTTGTTTTGAGCCTCACCGTGATTTAGGGTACCACAATTATTAGGGTTAACATTTCTTTAGTTATATAATTAAAACACTAACCCAACTAACTTTCACTTAAAGGTGAATCAAGGTTGTGTTAGTAGTTTGTTATGATCCATTAGAAAGTTCACAGTAAGGTGTATTGTAAAGTCTGGTTTAGGATAGTTTTCAATCATATTAAGTTTGTGTAGATTTAATCCCAATTTCTTTTAGTTCTAATATAAAGTGTTAATGCAATCCCCATGATAATATCAATTAGTGTTAATGTAGCCAAAATATGTCTTACTTTGAGTGGAAAAGTCTTTTTAAGTTCACTTTTCTAAAAAAATCAGGTAACTAAAGTGAAATAAAATTTGATCTTTAAATGTAAGCCTACTGCAGAACAGACATTATTGATTAACTAGCAGAGTACCCGTAATTTTTACGGGGTTGGCGTATAAGTATAAAATGCTTATATTGCAGTTAAACTCGTGCTTTACGGTTGCAATGAGAGAGGACACGGTGCTATCATTGACATCTATAAAGTCAATGATAGCACATCTACCAATAGCTCTGTTCTACCATTGTTCTACCACTGCTTCTAAACAAAAAAAGTGAAATCCTCATTTTTTACAGCTTTTTGTTGCTGTAGTTGGTTCAAATTAGATGTTGTCATAAATGTAAAAAAAAAAAAATAATAGTGCTGCACCCTGTTGGTAAACCTTATACACTTTTTAATGCTATTTAATATCATACAACCAACTTGGGTAGGTGAAACAGCTGACAATAGTTATTTGTGTAACTAGTGGGCAAAGTGGCACTTTGCTGTACACGAGAGCAATGTTTACGCACGAGCCGCAGGCGAGTGTGGAATGATCTCGAGTGCAGCAAAGGCCTTTTGCACTTGTGTTACACATTATATTTTTCCTAAGTCTTTATAAAGCATATAAATAATTAGTCTTTCAAACTATATACAACAAGTTTTTAGGTTAGGTGTCTATAGATGTCTATAGATAAAAGTTGTGACTATCAATAGAATTTTATTATTTTATGAAATTTTCATTTGAAAATGGTAATTGAAAAAACCCTACCCCAGTTAGCATTACAAAGACTGAATGATTAAGGTAATATAGAGCACAATAATACAAAACCTAAAAATATTATCATACAGGATTCATGAAAAAGCTCATCATTCAACATGAAGTAAAAAGAAGAGCTCTATTTTTTTTACAAAATGGTAGGTTAATAAAAGTTGAAGGCAATTCCATATGTTGCCCAAAAATTGAGTAATAAGAGTTTGGCATTTTTTTATTTAACTGTCCGAACCCTGGTCTTTTAAACTTAATTACAAATGAAAAAATGTTTATTTACGAAAAAGCAAGACATATATCTTTTTAAATATCAATTGAGCTCTGTGTTCTATTGCATTATAATTTAAATAAATTGTTTGATTTAATAATTTTAAACATCCTTGACCAAGCAAACAGTTTACAATTTAGTTTGTAAACTCTCGGTTGGTTGAGCCAATCTCACGAGCAATGTGAGAAGTGTGTCTCGTAAAGTCGTAAATGAGAGTTGACAATTGCTTGTCTGCCACTCTTCAATTGATCACAAGTGGACAATTCTCATCCAATCTTCTTTGTTGACATGATTGTTTTCATCTTGTCCCACAGTTTTTGTATAGGCCAAGTGTCACTAAGGATTACAATATCTCAGCAGTAAAAATAAAACGATTGCTGAATCAAAGCAAATACAGTTTTAGATAAAGTGAAATGGATGTGCTATCATGAGATGTCAAAATATCTGATTGTGAATCAAAAATAAATAATGAAAAAAAATCGATTAAGTAACATTTAGTTAATAACCTTGATGACGTAATCATGTTTAGAAAAAAGGAATTGTATTTTCTTTTGTACACCTA